TAATTGATTCTAGCATTGGTTTAATTATTATAAACCCTAGTTCATAAGATATGAGTTGATGGATTTGATAGAAAAGCATGAACGATTATAGGGTAGGGGTGTTGATTGTTGATTATTGGTTAAGGATGTTGTGTACCTTATGGGTGACGAAGAATAATGTTGATTATAACAATTTGAGACTTTAGAATTTATCTAGGATCAAGAGAATGGCTTGTTGGGTGTAGAAACACCATTAATAAGGACTATGAAGCTTTATGTCACCAAGTGTTTGAGAAAATATTTAAGTGACTAAACCAGGAGAATTTATGATAATATGGAATCCCTTTGACTTGTATTGATATAGATTAAAGTTGAAAGGATTGGCGAATGTTGTATTACACTCAAAAGAAATAAGTTAAGGTATGTGAGGCTAACTCTTTTTGTTTGGAAATGTTAATGATTCTCCCTACACTATGTTTTTTTACCACGTTACCAATTGCCTCAGAAATATAGTTAAGCCTAGTTTCCTTGAATAGTTGCAGAACTTCTATTCTCTAGCTTCGTAACTCGTTCATACTTTCATTCTGAATGTCGTGAGCTCAGTGCGTATTCAATATAGACTTGGGTTTAATACTCCCGAGTCTTAGTATAGATTACTCAGTATGCCATAAACAGTTGAAGTTTCAGTATTCATAATCAGTTCAAGAATATATGTCTCAGCTTAGTCCTATTCAGTATTTCAGTATCATGTAACTCAATGTGATTCAGTATTTCACTATTATGTATTGCAGTATGATTCTCAGTTCCTGATTTTAAATCTNTCGTATCCTTACTTCCTTTATCAGTTCAGTTACCAGTTATCAGCTATTAGTTCAGTTATTCGTTTTCAGTTATTAGTTCAGTTATTCGTTATCAGTTATTAGTTCAGTTATTTGTTATCAGTTATCATTTCAGTTTCAGTTTCAATAATTATCATTTCAGTTATCAATTATCAATTCTCAGTTATCAGCTTAGTTTTAGTTTCAGCATTTTTAATTCTTTCTTTCAGTTGCTTTACTTACCAGTGCAATTCAAATGTACTGACGTCCCTTTTTCTCGGGGCCTGCATCTCACAATGCAGGTAATGATTTATAGGTTGACGCTTCTAAGCACTAGGACTCTCGTATCAGCTATTTGGTGATCCCTAGTTTTTTTGGGGAATTATAATCATCTTATAGTGTTCAGTATTTTTAGACAGTCAATGTTTTCAGTACTTCATTAGAGGCTTCATAGACTAGAGTAACAGTTAGACAGAGTCTCATGCATTTCATGTTAAGCAATGTTGGATACATATATGTTTCAGACTTGTTTAAGTATTTCCGCACTTTGATTTATATCATCCAAACTTTCAGTATATCAACATGCGTTAGTTTATATTCCGCATTCAGTATGTTATGATATCATATGTTGATTCAGCCAGCCAATTGGTTTGCTCGGTCACATGTAGTTAAGCACCGAGTGTCGTGTTACGTCCAGGCCCAGGTACGGGGCGTGACAAAGCTTGGTATCAAAGCACTAGGTTCAAGAGTCCTAGGGAGTCTATGAAGCCGTGTCTAGTTGAGTTTCCTTTTTATGTGTGTACCGGCCACTCATATAAACGGTTAACTACCAAGACATCCAGGATTGTCTCATTTCTTTCTAATCTAGATCGTGTCATGAAGCTTAGAGCAATAGGTAACCTTCTCTTTCTATCGAATTCCTAACGCATTTAATGCCCAAGTGATGGGCAAGAAAAACCCAAGGTTCTAGAGAGGATGATTTCCTACTGGGATATAATTATGGAGTACAAGTTAGTAACATATTAGACTTGAGAGGATGTTGGAAGTGGGATGCAATGGATAGTAGTACAAATAAGAGCATAACCTTATCGGAAAGTACAAAAGCAGTTACCATGTCTTATGATTATCAGTTTACCTCAGTTACCAGGTATACAATCTTTCAGTTAGCAAGTTTATGGTTATTCAGTATGCCAGTTATTAGTTATTCATTTACCAAATCTCCAATTTTCAGTGTATGAAAATTCTGGACACTAGTGAGTATACAGTTATGCATATGGGTTCTCAAAGAAAATGTAGGTAACAGTGATTATAGCGAAACCTTTGCATATTTTAGGTCTAGATTAAGACCAAGACTCATCGGATGGTGCAGGAAGTGATTTATCAGATAATGATATACTCTGAAGGACAAGTTTGTGCATGGTAGTGTATTCGTATGTGTTTTACCTCCTAGAACAACTTCATTTAATTCTTGAAAATGGAGCCACAAGTTGGATGATAATCGTTCAAATGTCAGACCCTAACATTGGTCATTATAGTTTTGGACAGAAAGGAGCCTAAGGGTAAAATACCTAGGAGTCTGAAATGGGGCCTGCATCTCACAATGCAGGTAATGATTTACAGGTTGACGATTCAGAGCGCTAGGACTCTCGTATCAGTTGTTTGGTGATCCCTAGTTCTTTTGGGGAATTATAATCATCTTATAGTCTTCAGTATTTTCAGACAGTCAATGTTTTCAGTACTTCATTAGAGGCTTCATAGACTAGAGTAACAGTTAGACAGAGTTTCAGACCTTTCATCTTAAGCAATGTTGGCTACATATATGTTTCAGATTTGTTTTAGTATTTCCGCACTTTGATTTATATCATCTAGACTTTCAGTATATCAGCATGTGTTAGTTTATCTTCCGCATTCAGTATGTTATGATATCACATGTTGATTCAGCTAGCCAGTTGGTTAGCTCGGTCACATGTAGTTAGGCACCGAGTGTCGTGTTACTTCCAGACCCAGGTTCGTTGCGTGACATGGACGATAATTCAAAGAATAATTTTACACCAAAAATAACTAATTAGAGAAACAAAAGTGATATAAGCACAAATTTATAGTCAAGAAAATAATGGAGAGAGAAGGCTGAAGATTCCGGTAGAATCATTTGTTTTAGCTTTGATCGGAGATCAATTTTCTGGCGAGGGTTGCATGAGAAGTGCTTTTTCCGGCAAGGCCTATCGATGACCCCTTAGTGGGTTCTCTATTTGGCTATTTCTTATTTGTATTTTGTGGAAGGATTTTAGATTTAAGTTTTGAATATGGAAGAGGAAGGGAAAGGGGTCNGGGCGTTGGTTTGGTGAAAAGTAAGGAATGGGGTGTTTTCTTTTTTAAATGTATTTTCTTTTTTCTTTTGTTAATTATATGTATCAAATTACATATGTCATTTATTAATTGGCTCGTTTGCCACGTCATTGGCAAGTGTAACTCACGCATATGATGTGCTGCATTCGGGTAATTATTTGATCTACTTAATAAACACTTGAAGTGTCTAAATGATAAAGGGGTCGGTTGAGGTATTTGGTTGATTGTTGTGGACAACTTAAAGGGGCGCTTTATGTATATCGCCAAAATTATATATTTGAGTTCATGGGGTTATATGTAACAACTTTCTTTGAAATTTTCGGAATTCGGGCACGTGAGTCCGGGGGTGAATTTTAGGAATATTACATTCAGAGTTGGGTAATCACTTTAATAATTGGCATATGAACTTTTGAGCATAAATTGATTATTTTATATAATATTTGACTAATTTTGAGTCGTTTGGCACCAAATTTGGGGGTTTGAGCACAACCTTGGACCGGAAAGTAGGCATTGAGATGAGGTAAGTCTCTTTTCTAACCTTTTAAGAGGAAAATTAACCCCAGAGGTGAACTTAATCAATATGTACTTCTATTTGTGGGGGCTACGTACGCACGAAGTGATGAGAGTCCGTGCGTAGCTACTATTCATACTTATGTCCGGGTAGATTTAGGTTTACACCATGTTTTGTTGATATCGATGCTTGTTTATGCTTATTAATTGTTTGGATTAAAGTGGAGGTTGAGGATTTCAATATTTAAAAGGTTCCTAGTTGAATTTCTTACTTTGAAAAAGAATTGAAAGATATTATAATAACTGAAAAATATCTATGTCCAACCACTTTACAAGTATATTTCGCGAGCGGGATAAATTTTCATTACTCTCATGGGAGCGGGTCATTCACCTCGACATGTTAAATTGATATATCAATTGGTTCGGGTTGTTCGACCCTCGGCAATGCACAATATATTTATATGTATATTTGGATCGGGTCGTACGTCCTCGGCATAAATCATGCATAAAGATATTGGAACCCATTTTATATTTAATATTGTTTCATGGACTTGAAAGGTGAAAGGAATAGACGAGAGAAATGAATTGGTTCTTACTTGAAATGAAATGATTGTTTACTTATTTTCCTGCTCTGAGTTCTATCATCATTTTATATATCATGTTTGATTAGAACTTCATATTATTATATTGTTGGTCCATAGTAAGTGTCGAAGTCGACCCCTCGTCACTACTTCTTCGAGATTAGACTAGATACTTACTGGGTACATGTTGTTTATGTACTCACGCTACACTTCTGCACTTGATGTGCAGGATCTGAGGCAGGTGTATCTGGTTATCAATTTGGCGCGCACGTTTGACCTCTGGTTCGAGACTACACGGTGAGCTGCTCTTCCGAGCCATTCAGCAGCAGTCAGAGTCTCTCTTTTGATTTATTTTCTGTAGAGTGGAATTCTTTTGTATATCCTACTAGTAGCCCATACACTTGTGACACCAGGTCTTGATGTGCCTTATGATTTTGAATTTATTGTATCATTTCGATTTGTACTCAGTTGCTTCCATTTACGTATTTTACATCTGTCATTTCCTAAATCTTTCAAATGAGGCAAGTTATTTATTTAGTAAACTTATTAAAATGGAAAATTACTAGATTGTTCACTGTTGGCTTGCTTAGCAACGGTGCTGGGCGCCATCACGACCTAAAATGAAATTGGGTCATGACATATTTATTTGTTACTTATTTCCCTTGTATACAAAATTGACGATTTATTTAGTGAAAAAAGTTATGTTATTAAGCACTACAATATATTTGGTTAATGTGTTAAAGAAAAAGTTAAAATTACAGCAATTCAAAAAAATTCCGCCATAGTAACAAAAGCAGACTCTTCTAAGGTTTGAGCTATGTCCATGGATCCCCAGAACAACCTTTGCTGTATTTTCCAATTTCCGACGTGAAAACATAAGACAAATTAGAGAATGAGAGAAATCTCTTCTCGCCGTCTTTCTATAACCACCTTCCGCTTTCTCTCTTCTCTTGCGGCGGTGCGTGTAGACCACTACCACCACCCGCAATGCATTCATCCAGCACCCACAAATTCTCCTATTCACTTGCATACAGAGAAACCCGAAGGTTTGATTTCGTTAATCAATTCATCTTCTGAAAAGTCCCATTTGCTACAAATCCACGCCCACCTCATTCGCAAAACTCTCTTTCAAGATCCATTTTTTTTCTCAGCTTTCTTATTTCGTGTTGCTCTCCCGCCATTCCATGATTTAACTTATGCTTTTCGGGTATTTTCAAAATCTGAAAAACCCAATGTTTTCATGTACAACATCATGATTAGAGCTTATGCAATGAGTGATTCACCCATAAAGGGTTTTCAGTTATATCAAGGAATGTTAAGGTCAGGTGTGTCACCGAATTCGCTGACGTCTTCATTCGTTACGAATTGTTGTATAAAGATTGGGTCTTTCTTTGGTGGGATACAGATTCAGGCTCGAATATTGAGAGATGGGCATCATTCTGATGGACGCCTGCTGACCACATTAATGGATTTTTATTCATCCAATGAGAAGTACAGCGAAGCTTGCAAAGTGTTTGATGAAATGTCTCATAGAGACACAGTAGCTTGGAACGTGTTGATTTCTTGCTATTTGCGTAACCGACGCACTCGGGATGCTTTGCGCTTATTTGATATGATACGGAGCTTGTCTGAGTGTCAACCAGATGAGGTTACTTGTTTGTTGTTACTTCAGGCTTGTGCAAATTTGAATGCATTGGCCTATGGTGAGGGAGTTCATAGATATTGTGAAGAGCATGGATTTGACAAGGCAATCAATATTTGTAATGCACTTATAACTATGTATTCCCGGTGTGGTTGCATTGAAAAGGCTTTTGAGGTGTTTAAGGGAGTGGCCAAGAAAGATGTGGTGTCTTGGAGTGCAATGATTTCGGGGTTGGCAAGCAATGGTTATGGCAGAGATGCAATTGAGGCATTTTCGGAGATGCAAAGATCGGGTGTTTCCCCTGATGATCAGACTTTCACTGGGGTTCTTAATGCTTGCAGTCACTCCGGACTACTTGATGAGGGTAGGATGTTTTTTAATCGAATGAGCGAAGAGTTTGGGATTCCACCAAACATTCATCACTATGGGTGTGTGGTTGATCTAATGGGTCGTGCTGGCTTAGTTGAAGAAGCTTACAACCTTATAAGTTCAATGAAGGTCAAACCTGATGCAACAATATGGAGGACTCTACTAGGAGCTTGTAGAATTCACCGCCAAGCTGATCTTGGAGAACAAGTCATTGAGCATTTGATTGAACTTAAAGCACAAGAAGCCGGAGATTATGTACTGCTGTTGAATATTTATTCATCGCTTGGTGATTGGGATAAGGTAATAAACGTGAGAAAAATAATGAAAGAGAGGGGAATCCAAACCACCCCTGCTTGTAGTACCATAGAGTTCAAGGGGGGAATACATGAATTCGTTGCAAATGACTTTTCCCATCCAAGAAAGACTAAGATTTATGAGATGTTGGACGAGATCAATCAGCAACTGAGGATAGCAGGATACGTTGCTGAGCCAATGTCAGAGTTGCACAATGTGGGTGTGGAAGAGAAGCAGATTGCATCATCTTATCACAGTGAGAAATTGGCTATTGCTTTTGGGGTTCTATCAACTCCACCCGGCACGTCAATAAGAGTTGCAAAAGACCTCCGAATTTGTGTTGACTGCCATAATTTTGCCAAGATGTTGTCAGCAGTCTATAATAGGGAAGTTGTTATTAGAGATCGTAACCGCTTCCATCATTTCAGAGAAGGACTATGTTCTTGCAATGACTATTGGTAATTGCAAAATGTTCCTCCAGTAAATTATGGAGCAGAATGAAAGTAGGGCTTATAAAGATTATCTATTGAAGGATGATGAGAATGGTGTTGAATGTGTTATTGGATAGAACACCCGATAATATCAGACTCGCATTGATCATGCATCAGGAAAATTCTGGTCGTGCAGGAAAGAGAGAATCCCATTGTTGCTGAATACAGCTTGAAGCTAGATTCAAATAGACTCATTGGCACAGAGAAGAATCTAAGAATTTATGTCAATTAACAGGATGGAGTTGGATTTTGCTATACTAAGTCNGGGGGTTGAAATTGTTGAATTTGCCCAAAGGAAGAAAGTGACTGCAATCAAATGAATGATTTTCACTTGAGAAGAAATTACGTAACCAAAATCCCACAAAAGCAACGACACCGCGCCAAATCTTATGTCTTTATTCTTATTGACACTGGAGTTCCCTTGTATTTCTAGTAGTAGCTTATGTTGAAAAGCTGAAATCCATTACTCCTTTAAACCGATGACAATTTCTTTTTTTCCTAAAAGAAGCAGCAGCATACCCACCTTTACTGGCCGAGAGCATTATTTTTGCCCCGCAATTTATTTATTTATAATTTCACAAGTCAAGAAAATCAGAGCAGAAGAGTGAAGAGAGTCGAAATCCCACAATAGTTTTTCTGACATAATTTCAAAAGTTGTGAAAATCATAATAGAAGAAGCTGGAAGAGTGTAAGTAAACTTTGATCCCAGACTCCCTGTCAAATATTTGAGTTAAAACATACTTTAAGGGGTGGGGAGTGAAGGAGTGTCACATAGAACCGAGGCAAAGTAATTTATGATTGAATCTCAAAGGCATTCTTATCAAAGTCAAAACTATCGATCAAATGGTTCTTGATGAAGGTGAAACCTAAGAAACGAAACGTGAATGTCTGTCCGGATACTTCACCAAGAAGTTTGGAAAGCGTCGCAGAATAATGAGTGAACTGAAAATTCTAATATGATTTAACAGAACTCAAGAATGTTATGCATCCTGACCTCACTTATGGGATTTCACTGGGTTTGTTAACCTCACTTATAATTTCACTGGGTTTGTTGACCTCACTTATAAAATTACACTGGGTTTGTTGTTGTTGTTGTAAGAATGTTATGCATCCGGAGCTCAAGAGTGGAGAATGTGCATCCATGTGAACCTGCCATTCACTTGAAATTTAGGATCATCCTCATCCCCTTTCTCTTTATCTAATTATTGCTTANGGGGGGGGGATTTGTTTTTGAGGTTTTGAGAGAATTGGCTTTCTATTTAGCGAAATTTATTTTGTTAAATATGTCTTACAACATGATTATCTTGAAGAAGTAAACAACTCATTCAATCAAATACTCCTCACTGCCAAACAATTACATTTTCCACAAAAGAAAAAAAATATTGACCTCAATGGTGGAATTACCTATCCCACCTTCTATATGGAATAGCTAATTCCACCATTTTAGTGTAAAATTTATCTCAAAATTAACTAATACCTATAACCAAACATAGGATAAATGCAATCTCAAATTCTATCCCGAAATTATTGTCCTTGTCCCTTGTACTAAACAACCACTACAAGTACAAACATTGAGAAGGTGCTCGGTGATAAGATTTACCATAAGCAGCTAAAATTTGTGGAAGCAAGTGAATAACGGTTTTCCTAAATTTTTAGCATAAGTAAATTTAGAATTCCCGCATTTCATCACACAGCCAGCTCAACGACACGCTCAGATTATAGAGAGATTAAAGACTTGGTTTAACAAGAAAGAAAGAACACGACAAGAGTGCCTCAACAACGTCAATTAGAGTTACATACCGCAGAGGAGGAAACAATTTTACAATACTGCTGTTTTTTTTCTCGGTCACAGAAGCACTTTTCAGCTCACCTGCAAAACTGGAATTGCTCATACATGAATTCCGCTAAATTACTTTATTCCTGTCATCATTTCTTCAGACTGTAATATATTCTAAGCAGCTACAGGTTCCTTCTGAACGAAACCTATACCCTTCTCGATGCTAGATTTCAGTTCTGGCTTTAAAGCATCCAGAGCTTTCTGTTCATACTCAGTCAAACCTTGAAGGTCAGATGGAATCAAAGCCTCAACCCCGTTCTTTCCTAGTTTAACCCTTGAAGCAAAGAATGGAAGCTCTGTTAGGTCAGACTGGACAAAAGCACACTCATACACATCACTATCTCCATCAAGTGCGCGGAGTGAGGACTCAACAAATCTTGCTGCTGCGTACGCCATGGAAAGTGTAGCAGACCCTGCACCAGCCTTTGCCTCCACAACTTCTGTGCCAGCATTTTGAATCCTCACAGTTAGCTCCTGTACTTCTTCGTCAGTGAAAGTAGTGGATGGTTTTGTCTTTGATAGCAAAGGCAAAATGGTGATACCAGCATGGCCACCCACAACTGGGACATCTACGTCAATAAGCCTCAAACTTTTCTTCTGCGCGACAAATGTGTTTGCCCTGACTACATCTAGGGTGGTAACACCAAAAAGTTTTTTAGGATCATAAACACCCTTTCGCTTCAACACCTCTGCTGCAATTGGCACTGTGGAGTTGACTGGATTGCTAATGATGTGGATAAACGCATCAGGGCAATTATCAGCAACAGCCTCGACCAATGTCTTCACAATGTTTGCATTAATGTTGAACAGATCATCACGTGTCATACCTGGCTTTCTCGGAACACCAGCAGGTATGACCACCACATTTACACCTTTCAAACAGTTGGCCAATTCAGAAGCTCCAGTGAAATCTGAAACCTTGGAGGGAGTGTTGCAGTGACTTAGATCAGCCGCAACTCCTTTAACATTAGCTATATCATAAAGGTTCAGCTCTGAAACTAATGGTGACATCTTGACCAGAAGAGACAGTGGCTGGCCTATACCGCCGCTGGCTCCAAGAACAGCCACTTTGTAAGATGCTTGAGGCTGAACACAGTTCCCATATCCCTTGTTTTCTTTTTGAGCCTTTGGAGTAAAAGATTGTTTAAGGACAGCAACACTTTCTTTTCCTAAAAAGGACGATTCTGATTCACAGCTTACATCTGTGGCAGCCTTCAAACCGCTGAAACTTTTAAGGCTGTTTTTGGAGTAGAATTTCACACTAAAGGCTTTTGATTGAGATACTGAGCTTCCTTTGCAGCCAAGAGATGTGGCTGAGCCAACTGAGAAAGTAGTTGCTGATGTTGCTGCCATTCCGCACCCTGCAAAGGAGAAACATGATATTAATTTTCTATCAAGAATTTTAGTACATTACATACCACACCTGATGCACCAGCGGAATATTCGCAGTCTGATATATAAAAACATGAGACATTGCATGAATTGGAAGACAAATGAATCAGTACTATATACATGCCACTGTGTGCTTCATTCAGTTTTCCATAATAGACAAACTTAGCATCTAAAAGGTGCAGAGCAAGTTAAATGAAATAGGCTTTTCTTCCTTCCAGCAGTCCAGGTTATAACTGTCTCCCTCTAGCTTATCACTTGAGCGATCTTCTTTCTAGTTTCCAATATATTGACGACAACAATTACTGTTTGTTAGCTGTGATAACCTTGAGAATCATTTTACCATTGTTCTCCTAACACGTCATACTAATATCATTTCCAAGAGAATACAAGAATTCGACAGATAAAATTGACTTTCCTGTTCTAGATTTAGTACTATAAGGCAAGTTTGAGCATATATAGGTAAATGAATGAGTTTGGAGATGCATTTTTTCAGATTAATGGACCGTAGATCACCATTCAGCTTGTTTAAGATAAGGGTTGATGCGTGTAAATAACAGCACAGTTAACGTGGTTCGAATATTGGATGAAAAAGTGTTGCCATGCTATATGCTAAATGATCAGATTGCAAAATGTGAAACCGTGTTCAAAGATGAATGGGGAGAGTATCTGTTTTGAAAAGAATGACATTGCATAGATACAGCCAAATCTGAAAACCTCCAACACCGAATATGAAACAGAGGAATCAAGTGAATAAACTAGAAAGTAGGCCAAATTGTTAAAAAAATAAGAGGGCTGATTTTACGGGTTGAGTATTGTCATAAAAAAGTTGACATTGTATAGACAAGCGCAAAATAGCTCTAAGGCCCATTAAGCAAGGTGAAGTGGTCAACGTGCTTTGGCGTCAATTCAGGGCTTAAGCGCCTTTGAAAACACTGGTCTGAAACAGAGCTACGAGCTGAAGAAACTAGAAGGTAGACCAAACTGTGTCAAAAACAAGAGGGCTGGTTTTGCAATGGAGATTAAATAGATAAATCCTGATCCACACTGCTATGGTGCTGACAAAAGGTAAAGTTGGTTCTCAA